CAAATTGACCATCACACCATAAAGGTCAAGATGGCTGCACCCACAGCGGAGGCAGGGGTTCCATAACACAAGATGGCTGCGCCCACAGTGGAGGCTGAGTTCCCCTAATGAGCCTTAATGAGCAATCAGCAGGGCCTGAGGCTGTGTGGTGCTGGGCCGAGGCAGGGGACCTCAGGCCAAGCCTCCCACCCTGACGCCAGGCCAGGTGACCTGAGGCTGCAACCCCCACCCAGTGGGGCTTGACAGGGGTGGGGCTGGCCAGGTCTGGATCTAGCCCAACGGGGGTGGGACCAGCCAGGTCTGGGTCTCGCGTGATTTTGAGGTGCACATGGGTGGGCAGCGACTTGACTCTGGTTCCTGTGGTGCACCCCAAACTCTGACAGGAGGAAAATTTTCATATACATTTTACTAATTTTCTTTCATCTCTGACACTTCTATTATAGAGAAAGGGCAAATAGCAACATTAAAATATTTTTTCTAATTAATTTCCTTTTAATGTACACTAATTTTGTGCACCGGGTCACTAGTCCTTACATAATAAAAGGTTAACATGCAAGTCGACCAAGTGGCGGAACAACTGGTCACCATGATGCACACTGAACACCAGGGGGCAGACACTCAACACAGTGCACTCCCAGAACCTGGGCTCAGAGCTGGAGCCTCTCCTGCCTCCATGGCAGCACTAAGGATGTCCGACTGATGACTGATGGCTTAGGTCCACTAGTTTAAGCCATCACTCAGACATCCCCCAAGGGCTCCTGGATTGCGAGAGGGTGCAGGTTGGGCTGAGGGACCCCTCCTCCCCTCCAAGTGCATGAATTTTGTGTACTGGGCCTCTGGTATATACATAAAAATATAAATTTTTCTCTGTAAGTTCTTGCAATAATCAGCTTCTGTTGCTTATATCCTAAATATCTACAACTACAGCAGATTCCTTTCTCCTGTTCTTCCTTCTGCTCCTGGACATCAGGCCCTTTTGTGCTGCATTCATATAATTAGGTCAGTACACCCACACACCGCTGTTTTCCACTGGCTTCAGCTCTTATCAGGTGAGCTTTTGGGAAATGCCCTGAGATGAATTATCAGATATGTTAACATGGGCAGAGGAGGGCTGGGCATGGGGATATGCTGGCAGCAGACTTTGGGGTTTGCAGTCCATACCATGAGATAGAACTAGATATTTTTTTTAATATTTTTTTAATGTATTTTATTGATTTTTCACAGAGAGGAAGGGAGAGAGATAGAGAGTTAGAAACATCGATGAGAGAGAAACATCGATCAGCTGCCTCCTGCACATTTCCCCCTGGGGATGTGCCCGCAACCCAGGTACATGCCCTTGACCGGAATCGAACCTGGGACCTTTCAGTCCGCAGGCCGACGCTCTATCCACTGAGCCAAACCGGTTTCGGCAAAAACTAGATATTTTGATATGGCACAAAAGTCAACTAAGTGTGAGAGGAGATGTTGGTGGCCACAGATGAAAGAAATGGTCAAACCTGAAAACTTTTTAGACATAAAAATTTGGAGAAAGGAGAGCATGTGTTTACAATGATGAGGGGAGAGAAGAAGTAGTTGCCTCGGGCCTTTGAAACCAGACCAGGAGCCAGGCCCAGGCAGGGGCAGCGGGAGGCCCAGGGAGGAAGTTCAGGGTGAAAGCTGGCTCAGAGCAGTGTGTGGAGCAGGATGCAGGGGGTGAGTCCACACAGTCTGGGCTCATGGGGACCCGGGGTTGGAGAGTGACGTGACCTTTGTGGTTCCGAGAGGGGGTGACAAACACTGGGCTTTGGCTCAGAAGCCTGGGTTAAGGTGGATTTTGGAAAAATGTTCTCTTTGCTCCCAAACTCTTAAAACGTATCATCGCACCATGGCTTCCAATCATGGCGCAAACACGAGTCCTGCACACTCCCTTCAGCGGGTCTCACAGGGGCTCTTCCCCTTTCCTGGGCCATAGGTACTGTGAATTTGGCTGAATACAGTGTCTTTGTGATTGCTCTTCACCCTTCCCGCGTGCTTCTCATCTCCCAGACTCCTAGGGTTCATCCCCAGGACAGCCTTGCTTTGAAAGAAAAAAATGTTCAAGATTTGGATCCCAAAGGCCGCTATCTGTCCTGCCCCAGCCAAACCCAGGCAGCTGGCCCAGGAGCCGGGCGAGGACAGAGGAAGAAGAGTGAGCTTCTGCTGGTTTTTTTGTTTCCTAGGCCTGGTTGCTCTGGAGAATCACGTCCCTGAATCATAAGGTTGCCTTTTCTTTTTTTTTCCCTTTCTTTCTCAGAAAAATACACTGATATCCCCTTCCTGTCCTGGATGGGATTCATAAAGGCAAGTGATTGGAAGGTGTTCTTCCTTGCTGCTCAGGTGGCATCCCTGACGTGACCTGGGTGTGCCTGTTTCCACATGGTAATACAGTGGGGCCTTGACTTGCGAGTGTCCCGACTAACGAGTTTTTGGAGATACCAGCTGCCTCTCGGCTGATTTTTTGCATTGAGTTGACAGGGTAGTTTGAGTTAACGAGCTCCTTAACGAGCTCAGCCTCCGATCGATTTGAACTCGTAAGTCAAGGCCCCACGCTACTTAAAGCTGTACCTGCATTCGCTAAAATCATTGGTACTGATCGTTCTTCTCCAGAATAAATGCTGCACAATGGGCTGCTTGGGTTGGTTAGGATCAGCTGGTCCCTCTGCCTGCAGCAATGTCTTCTTTGGGGATTTTTGTGCCTATTTGTTACTCATCAGAGGGAAGGACGGAAGACTTGAGAAGGAGGGCGTGGTGGGCTGATTCAGCGGCTTCCTGCTCACCCCTGGCTCCAGCTTCTGCTTCTCGCTTTCTCCATCTCCTCTCCTGGCTCCTGGAATCTGCCTTACGCCACTGTCAACGAATTAACTTCCAACATTCTCTTCTGATCAACATGTAGACAAGACAATTGCATCTACTCCTTAAACTTCTCCCATCCTGGGATTATTAGCAAAGATATTAATAACAATAGTAATAATACTATATTTAGAAGCTCTTTACCACATTTTATCTCCCAGAGTCTTAAAGATGTTAACTAATTAATCTTCACAACACTCCATACAAAAGAGGTAAATATTACGAACTATAATTAAATATACTAAGGACAGCAAAATAGTTCACTTATTTATCACGGTTCACTTCATATAGTATAACTGGTATTTTAAAACACCCATCATAGGTGCAATAATTAGAGATGTGCTTTTGCTAACAAAACCACTACCCACTTCTAGAGTCCCCTCGGGTACTAAATAATTACCCACTTTGTGTGGTTATCTAGCTCACTAATTACCCACAGAAATTGGGGTCAGGTGTTAACTGCTTGAAATAAGTATCCTCCAAAGACATCCCTCAGTTGTATAGAGAAAATGATGTGTTCATAGCAAAACTTTCATAACTCATAACGCATATATTTGTATATCTTTGTAAGTAGAGTGACTATAGATGAGGCAGATTAGGTTACTGTGTAAAAATCATGCTGAATTATTATTGCAAAGGCATAGAGGTTTAGAAGAGTCTCAGTCCACTCCATTCCTTGCTTACTTTTTCTTTTAGAGAGGAGTGCAATAATGTGATGCCCACAACTCGGCCTCCATGCACAAGCACACTGAGACAACCTGCTCTGCTTAGAAGTGATTCATCTTGGCATTGCAGGGAGGCACCCAGTGAGTCAAAGATACTGTTCAACAGCTCCGCCCTTTATGATCGTTCCAGCCTGCGTCTTTTCCTCTGGAGTCTACTCCAGACACACTATTAGACAAATCAGAAAAAATGCTAACCTAGTCACCAACCCCTGCCACCATCTTCCTCCTTCCCAATAATGACAAAAAGCGGGGGGAAAGCATTGAATGAAACCAACACTATGATGGCAGGTCTTTCTCTTTTTTTGCCTCTATTTGTTCTGATTCCCTCTTCCCCTCCCTTCCTGCCCTCCTTCCTCCTTCTCCCTTCCTCCTCTCTCCTCTCTCTGAGGCTCCCATTTGCATGTGCTCTTTCTTCTCCTTTTCCTTGGCATACAGCCCTGCTAGTGTAGGTTTCACAGTCAGAGACAAAGCATAATCTCTGAGTTGAGCACAAAGAAGCTATCTTTTAAAAATATTGACTTGGAGGAAGCCTGCATTCTCAGATAGCTCCCTCCTCTCCTTGCTGCGCACAGAGCCCAGCATTACCCTTCACAGCATGGCGGCCTGTTGTCCGGTGACTGGAGCCAGGAAAACGGGGTTCCCACGCAGCCTGTCCACTGCGTGTGGAGCCAGGTAGAGACCCTAGTTTTGGGGTGATGCCTGTTTGACAGGATCATTGTGTAGCTGAGCTCTAAAAATGCGCTAATAGAAATAGTGGGAAATGCTCTCCAGCTCAGTATGCTTTTCTTTTCTTTCTTGTGCCACTTGTGGTCATCTGAATTATTGCTTATCATTATGCAGGGACGCCAGCCTGACCAGGGAGAGGTGTGTGTATCTGAGGAACATTTGAAGCGAATGCTTCAGGAATAAGAAAATGTCTGCAGTAGAAGCAAAGGGTTAGGATGAACTACAGTGACTGGTGCGTTCATTTCAAAATCCAAGGGGACCCGAGTGGTGAATGAGGACATAGAGCGAATATAGTCGAAGAGCGAAGCCGGCAACTCAGAGAAAAGAATTTCAGCACCGGAGTCATCACAAGCCTTCGGTGCCTGCAGATTCAAAATCTAGATTAAACCGCCGCTCTCTATCCCTCTACAGCCCTCTTTCAATGAAGGACCTGGGAATCCTTGACTTTCTGTCCATGGAGAAACCCGCCAAGATTCATCACATGTACCCCCTGCATGTGTGTTTTCAAGTTCATGGGGGCTGGGCACACCTAGAGGGCTCATGGTGGCCCTCTCCCCACCTCCCGCTCCACATCCGCCCGGAGAACGTGCTAGGACCCTCTGCAGGCTGCGAGGTCTGTGTTGGTATAAACCGCGTCTGCCTCGCCCCTGACCGGCCTGCGTTGGGTCTCATTAGCAGTCAGGGGGTGCCTGGGCGCACCCGGCGAGGGGAGACGGGCGAGGCGGCAGAGGGAGAGGCTGGGAGGTGTTAGAGAGGAGGCTGGCCTGGACGATCTGGAAGGAAGTGAGCAACGGGGGGAGGACCGCAAGCTTTGTATGCGGGACCCCGCCGGGCGGAGCAGCGGGGCAGCAAGTGGGTTCCCGCACAGGAGGAGGCCCTGGGAAGCTGCAGGCGAGTGGAGGGGCAGGATTCCTTCTGCGCAAAGCGCAGGTCGGAGCAGGCAGCGAGGAGCCGGCGCGCTGTGGGCCGGAGCCCCGCTGCTCCTGGAACCAGACACGCAGGCTTCCCGGGAAGGGAGAGGAGAAGAAAGGGGGCAGTGTGGGCTCGGAAAATGCAGCTTGTCGCTGATTTGTGCCTGATGCTCGCTGTCCGTCAGCAGCCTCCCTTACACTCTCCCCCCCCCCCTTTTTTTTTCCTTCTCCGTCTTCACTGAGCCTAGGGGAGCCAGCAAAGATTAAATGTGCTTTCTCAAAGGCAGCCACTTCACGCTGCCATGTCGAACGGGCCATTATTATTTTTATTTTTGATAGTAAAGGAAAAAGGAGAAGAGGTAGATAGAGAGAGAGAGAGGAGCGAGGGCTGGTAGGATGGTGCCGGACTAGCTGCTCTGAGCGACAGGAGAGGCAGCAGACGGACAGACGGACCGCAGGAGGCCTGCCCCGAAGAGCCCTCGGAGGTGAGCTCCTGGACACGGGGGTGGGCGCTGCGCAGACCCGGACGAGGGCAGGCGCCGTCCAGCTCGGAGGGGGAGCGGAGCCCTAGCAGGTCGAGTGGCACATGGAAACAAACCAAATGTTTAGCGTTTTTGCCAAGCGCTTGAGGCCCCTCCAGTGTCTTCCTCGAGGGGCTGCTTTGTCACTCTCTGGACTAGACAGCATCTACCTTCTCAGACTGAAGACGGACGGAGGGCGGGAGGGCGGGAGGGGGAGGAAGGAAGGAAGGAAGGAAGGAAGGAAGGAAGGAAGGAAGGAAGGAAGGAAGGAAGGAAGGAAGGAAGGAAGGAAGGAAGGGAGGAAGGAAGGAAAGGAGGGAGGGAGGGAGGGAGGAAGGAGAGGGGACAGTTTTGAGAGCTATCTTCCCACCCACCTCCCCTCCTTTCCCTTCCATCTGGGAGGCGTCGCAGGAGCCTCTTGCTCAGCTTCCAGGCCGATGGGGACGCGGCCAGCCCTGCGCCAGGAGCCGCCTGAGAAGATGGAGGGAACGCGTTTCCGATTCCTGGACTGTTGGCCGAAAGCGCCCAGGACCGGGCGGGGCCCGCTGGCAGCCGCACCTCCCCGCCGGCCTGACAGCGCGGCGCTGGCCGCCCTGGGCCGGGGCTGCGGCCGGAGAGAGCCACGCGGAGGACCGGGGACGACTGCAGCAGCCTCGGGGCGGTTCCCAGCCCTTCATTTAAAAAAGAATTAACGGAACGATTTCAAAGCCATCAGCCTCCGCCTTCCTCCACTCCCACCAAAATCGCCTCCCTTCTCTCTCTCCGGTCCAAGCGCGACCCGGAGCGGCAGCCTGGGCTCCGGGCTGGGCCGGCCCCGCCCTCCCGCCAGCGCGGCCTCCAGGGCAGCCCCGGCCCGAGCGCGCGGGGCGCCGTCCGCTCCGGTGGAGCCGCGAGGCTGCGGCCGCTCCGCTTCCAGCCGGTGAGTCCGAGCGCCCCCATCCCCGCACGCTCCCGCCCCGCCCGCACCCCGTCTCCTCCTAACCATCTGACTCCGCAGTGCTGCGCGCGGGCACGGGGGAAGGGCCTCCTCATTTTCTTTAGTTGTTTGCGCTGGTTGCGAATTAAAGCTTTGAACACTCGGCCCTGATCACAGCCCGTGGTGTCCAACACGTGGGCATGGCCGGGTCTATTCGCGTTACCTGCCATTGTCAAGGCCACCCGCGCCCGTATGGCACGTGCGTGTGTGCCCAGGGTGTGCACGCGGGCATCGCGTCCTGCACCGCGTGGCACCCAGACCTGTGGACAGGACGCTGGGCAGTGAGAGGGACACCGCCACCTGTTTGTTGCCTTTTCACCCTGAAGCTGAAGCAGACGCCTGTCACCTTCTGCGGCTCTGCTTTGTCTGGAGAAAGAGCCTACTGCGCCCCTCTCAATCCCTGAGACCCTAACTTGTGATGTTTACCGTTTAAATCCACGGGTTAGGCTCTTGGGAGCTGTGAGCCGCGCCTCGGCATCCCGGAGATTCGGTGGAACTTTTTCCTTTAAAGCAAAAACGAAAGAAAAGAAAGTTTGTCTGAAGTGACCGAGGGCACCGCTGAGGTTTCCATTGTCGGTGGGATCAGGTGACGGGCGCCTGGGCGTGCGAGCAGGTATCTGCTGGCCAAGCGGCCTGGCGAGGCTGTGGGCACCCGTCTGTTCCCTGAGGGCAACGTGCAGTACCTTCCAGGGTAACAGGAACAGCTCGGTACCTGTCCTTGGCCTCAGAGCACACCAGCTGAAGTCCCGGCATGCCCCAGGCTCCCAACTTTTAAACTCAACAGTTCGTCTTAAAATTATGCCCAATAAACATGGGCATGTGCATGTATGAGATATTCAATTCCCACACATGTGTACCATACATGGCTGGATAGTGAGCACAGACATAGGTAGTGGTGAACCAATAATCTGGGCCAATATGGCCAAAGGCTAAAATTTTTACTCTCCTTATTCTAGATGAAGGGTGGCGTTTTGGTGTTAAAAAGACTAAATTCGTACTTCTTTACAAGATCTTAAATAAAATAAAAGGCGATATATAGCCTCCTTGCTTGGCTACTATTTTAATATGATGATTTTAAAAGTAATAGGGATTGGAAATGTATGATAGATACTGAAAAAAATAACAGGATGCACACACAAAAAATAGCGTATCCTTTAGGATTAACTATGCATATTATTCTTTGTGTAAAAACTGGGGGAAATTATCAGGAATTTAATTCAATCCAATGTAGTTACTTATAACACAAAACCATACATTTAAAATTATCTTTTGAGGTAATTGTTAGCATTACCTAGTTTGCAGTTTTCTGAAAATGTGACATTTTGTAACAGAATAATTTCAGTGATTTAGATATATATCATAGTTAGAAAAGAGAAACAGTGACTTATCTTTCTTTGTTGTGAAAAATTCCAATATATAATTTTATTTAAACAATTTTAGCGTTCTTGGGCCAATATTTGTCTTCTATTTTTTGAAAAGACCTAAATCAATCCCAAATTCAAATGCATTCTTCATTTAAAGACTTTATATTGGTTGTAACTTGTTTGTGCATGTTAAAGGTTAAGGAAACTCTTCTTCCCCTGTCTTTTGTTTTGTTTTGTTTTTAAATATTCATTGCAATTTTAGTCATTGACTCTAAATCATAGTCAAGGAACCATTTTGTATCAGCAACCTGAATTGAGAGTATGAACTGTGGAACAATTGTGCCATGTCTTTTGTTGAAACCTCTTGTGTACTTATAATATTTCAATATTACTCTACAGCCTTTGATAGTCTGAATGTGTTTCAAAGAAAAGTTATTTGATTTTTCAGGTCATTTTTTGGTTTGTATAGATGGGATTGATGATTTCCCCCACCGTAGCTAAGGTGTATGCATAGGTATTTGGAAATTATGGAAAGGCATCTCTTTAATTTATGCATCTATATTACCCCATGATTCATGTCAAATGTTTAAAACATGTGATGACTTTCAAAGTCAAAATGTATCTGCAGTTAATTTTATGAAAACGTATGCATGGGTCAACAAAAACCTGCTAGATATCAGTCTTCTGTGATTTTAAATTATAACCGGACAGTAATTTAATCCAAGTGATACAGCTTGTATTCTGAGGAACTCTCTTGGTGCTTTGCATGTTTTCGAGTGGATTGCTCATGTTCTGAGGCTGCTATTATACAACTGGTCACAAGGCATTTAGGAGTGCATAACAACACACAAGATTTTATATTTCAGCAGGGAACTGCTTCAGTATAAGGATAGGTTTCTCAACACCCCTTCTTCCTCACTGAGCCCATCAGTGAAGTTCAGTGAAATGAATAACATAATTGGTGGTGGTTCAATCACTACCAGTCTAGACTAGCCCAGACGCATCAATTAGAGGGGCTGTCTTTTAAAGAGAGAGTGCAACCGAAACAAGCAGGGCATTATGGATACTGATCTTTAAAAGTGCAAATCCAGCTTTGCAAATAAAAAAAAAAAATAAGGCGGGGAATTGCGGGGGGTGGGGTGCATTGCAGGAAGAAAAGAGAAAGAAGTGAACTGGAGCTTTGGGACAAGAAAGACAGGAAGTGAGAGAGGGAGGAATAGTGAGTGAAATGCCAGGCAGCACCTCCGTGGACACAGTTACAGTTCAGTCCAGAGCACATGGTTCACCATATTTAACTAGCGCCCCCCACCACCATTTTTTCCTTTTTTGCATGTTTCCTAAGAAGTTCCAGCTCAAAACCAATGCCATTGAAAATATAGGAAGCTTCTAGCGAGATTGAAGCCAAGTGGTACCAACCAGCCAAAACTCCTTTTGCAACATTTTTCCCCAAAAGAAAAACACAGAAAATGTTTATGTTTGAGTTTCTAATCACACCTTTTTTAAAAAAAAAATCAACTGTACTAATGGACAGGGCTCATTTTAAATCCAGCAACTGGGAAGTAATTTTATGGGCAAGACACCTCTAGGCAAGCAGCTCGTAGTTTTCTGTTGAATACAGTAAAAGTATGAAGACTGTAACAAAGGCTTGGTGATTTGGAGGGGTGGAGGGAGGTGGATGGATAAAAGACAGAGGATTTAGAAAGCATTAGGAATATATCAAGCCCCAGGGAAAGAAAGGGTTTAATTGGTATTAATTAAAACACTGCTAATATATTCTAACAAAATCAAATTTGACGTTCTAAACTAATCTCCTTGGTATGTCAAAGGAAAAGAAAAGTATTATCTTATTTGCATCTCTGCAATCCCAAAGCATTGCTCATCCAGCAGAATTAATGTTTACCACCAGTCTGTTTAATCTCCTCACACATTTAGTCAAACTTATTCTTTCAAACTAAAAGGATCCAGGAAGGGAATCCATGCAGGTATTGGGAAGACTTGTGGCTGTCGTTGTCACTGGTTTCGTATTTTACTATGTTTCTTTCTCCTCAATGACTGCAGTGAGGTGGGGAAATGGTGAGACTGCAGTGAGAATGATGAATAGCTCATTTTTCCTCTTTTTTTCTTCTGCCTTCCAGGGTATTTAGGAATTGCAGTTGCCAAATTATAAGAGTGTCATTTATTTACATGGCTGATGTTGGTCTGCTAATTAGTATCTAATTTATTTCTAATTTCAGAATCTACTTTATTACAAATTACTAATGAAAAAAGGCTCTCAAGTCAGAAACGAATGACCCTTTCTCAGTTATTTTTAAGTAAATGAAATGGGGAGGTGAATGTAAAATTTTATCCACCAAGAACTGAATTCTTTGTTTCCTTTTTAAGTTAAAATTTCTGCAGGGAAATTCACACTTTTATTAAATGGTGAGTTTTATTCTCTTTAGTGTTGAACTCTCACAATGGATAAAATTGCCCCCAAGTGACATCATAGCAAAAATATTTCTCCACCCCTTAGTCTCCCATGACTATGATATCATATGTAAATATTCGGCTAACACCAAAAATAAATAAGCTAACTATATTGAGGACCACGTATGTGTATTTGAAGGTGAGGGATTCTGCACACGATCCAGGATGTGAACTTCTGACTCACCTGCTGATGCTGCTGCCTTTCTGCCCTGCTGCCTTTCCCAGCTCCTCACGGCAAAAGAGCAGTTGCAGTTCAGTTTCTCGTGTATTGTTCCATAATCCAGGCAATAAATGCTAATTAGCAATGCTCAAGGATCTGACTATTCAGAGTAATTATCATAATTTACTTCTTCCTTGATAAAGACATTCCTTGCTGATTAAAAAAAATTAAATTGTTGTTCTATCATTGCACTGCAGTGGGAAGCACACCAGAGAGGTGTGTGAGGTGGGGTCGGATCATTTGGGTTTCATTCAAAGTCACCGGCATGTGCCTCTTAGCTTATTCCAGATGGAATTGTAATTTATTTTCTAAAAAGGAATTCATGGAAATACACAAAGTTTTGCATGTGCACCAGGGATGTATGATTTTATTTTACAAACCCCAAGGCTCCTCCTTCCGGGCCCATCCCCTTCCTAAAATCACTTACTGAGCAGAACAAAGGAAACTGCTAACTACAGAGGCATCTCGGTGAACAGCGGCAGCATGATAAAGTCTGTGATATGACAACACATTGCATTTCACGAAAGTGCAGTGAATGAAATCATTTAAATAGTAACCCTAATTAGCAGACAGATCTTTCAGGAGGAATCAAGAAAATGGATCCGGCCAACTTGAATAATATGCCCTGTTTCCCAAGATCACAAATGTACTTGGTTATCTGATTGGTTGAGTCACACAGAAAGAGGAGGACAAAGCCTGGTTCTCAAAATGGAGCTTTGCTCTGGCATCCTCTTTAGGGCAAATTGATCAGACATTTTATAAGAACAGAATTTAATGCAGGGCTCTTTCTTTTCAAAGATTTAATCTGCCATTCACTTGCACATTTCTTTTATCAGTTGATCTAAAATATCATCTGAAAAATTGTGAACCCCTTAGATTTTCATATAATTGCTGCAGAATATACGTGAAGCCTTCTCCACATTCTATAATGAGGCCTGTAGTTCAGATTTTTTTCTTATTGCTTGAAGCAAATAAGGATACTATGCACAGAAGGAACAGAATAAATAACCATGTTGAATATTCTATTTGGTGGAGCTTTATCTATCAAGGTTATATTCCCAGGGTCTGTTGTTCATTGGCCTTTACGGAGAACTTCCGCTTTTACTTGAGGGCTGTAAGCATATAAGAGGGATAATTCCCTTTGAATACTATACAGAAGGAGCCACCTGCAAAATGTTGATGCTCTTATTGAAATCTCAAGTGGAATCAGCTTTCAAAAAATTAGATATTAGATACATCCAATATAATTTGCAACGTGTAATTATACTAAAGTGCATATAGTTGTGTGTTGCTTTACATGTTGCCTACTTGAGATTTTTTTCCCTTTGGCAATTCTCATCATTTGACATGGATCCTGAGTAGAATGTTTTTCAAGTCAACTTAAAATTTTTTCTTGTTAATTAACATAAGAATAAAAGGACTCTATGATCTCTGTTCTCATGCAAGGATGCATGTGTGTAACCTCAATGTTGGCAATTAATCGTGTCTGAAAGAGTCGTCATTGCAGAGACTGTTGCATTATTTGTAAAACATTTACTGTTTTAATCTTCATCCTAACTTTGGATAATTTGCAGTAAGGAAGAACACTAGAATAATAAATATTAGTCATAAGAAATTCATTTCCTTTATTTAAATGATGAGATAACATGTCAGGGAAATGGTCTTAGGCAGAGATAATAATTTTAACCTGATCAAACTCATAATAATAATTTTCCTCCATTTTGCATGGCACGTGATTAAGAACTGAGACTCTGCCTGGGATCGCAGAAGCCCCAGCATCGGCTTCCCTTTGGGTGTCTCAGTGCAGTGGGTTCTTGGGCTACAACTCCCTCTCCATAGAGCTGAGCCCTGAAGATCTGCTATTAAGGAGGATCCTAGGCCAAGCAGCAGCAGCAACTGGTCTGCCTGCCACTGCCACCTGCTCTGTGCACAGGTGATGATGCTCTTGGTGAAAATCAGAAGACTCATCACAGTCAGGTCACAGAAGCACCTAAGCGACCAGTGACAGGGCCCCAGTTTATGTTTATATGTTCAGGAGACCAGACTCCAAAGGGTGCTCATGCTGAGATGACGTAGGGTCTTACTTCATCCCAATTAAGTAGGCATGGACACCAAGGAAAGCTGATTTATTAAGCATTTGACTCATAATACACACCTAGAATATGGTGGTTTACTTATTTATAATTCTTCAAATTTATTTTAAAAGACGGGTCCATATTCTAAAAGAGACATTTCTGGGGGCTATGTCTATGATGCACCAAAGCAATACATTGGTTTACTTTTCATCTGGGCTTTCTATTAAGTTACCCAAAGGAGTAAAAAAATAGTGCGAAACATCTTTCCTTAACACAATCGCATTTTAATTTATTCACAAGTAAGTCTACCATACGTGTAGCAAAAGCTTAGCACCCCACCCTCCACTCTGTGTTCACAACATAATGAATTCTAAAATATGTAAGATGCATCTTTTACTTAACTACTCATCTAGGATCCATTCTTACATGCTTGGTCAGAACAGAAAAATACCTATTAACAGCAGCAGTTTATTGTACAGGTTCCAGAGCAAATGTATGTTATACTTGCCATCTAGAGAGCCAAGGTCTTTGACGTATCCCAAGTGTCTAGGGCAGAAAGCAGTGACAGGAGGTGGAATATTCTTGGTGTACGTACTTAAGTCATTATGCATCCTCAGTGTGTGAGCTTAATGAAGAGGCTGACAATAAAGGGTTCAGTCAAATTAAAATCCACCTGCAAAGTATACGTCATTCATAACATCTATTGTGCAATAAAAGAAATATTAATACAGCTCTTCCCAAACATTCTTCTCTGTAAAATGCGTGGGATGGGTTCATTGGTCTCTAACTCTTTTAGCTCCAAGGACTTGTGAAGCTGCTCTAAAGTAGAGGCACAGAACACTCTGGGCCCCTGACTCCGGAGGTATTGTATTAAGACTTGTTTGTCCTTTGAAGTTATATTCAATTCCGCCTCCAGGTACTGTGTTTACTAACATGTAGTTGTTTTGATGCTAAAACAGTAAAGTTCATTTTTAGGAAAGGCAGTGGCAGAGAGAGGAACAGCTGGAGAATGAAAAATGCTCTCAGTTCTAAGCCCACTTCCTGCAACATAAGCATAGAAGAAACCCAGACAAGCACCTGCCTCCCTATTTTATTTATTAAAAATCTTTATTGTTGAAAGTAGTACATATGTCCCCGTTTTCCCCCCGTTGACCTCTTCTGGCCTGCCCCCAACCCCTACCACTGGCCTTCATCACCCTTTTATCTGTGTCCATGGGTTATGCATATATGCATACAAGGTCTTTGGTTGATCTCTTCCCACCCACCTACCCACGCCCACCTTCCCTCTGAGATTCCACAGTCTCTCTATTTTAAGAGCATATTCTTTAATCCCTATGCCTTCATTTAATTTCTGGCTATATGGTTTGCTTTTCTCATTGAGCTGACATCTTTGAATTTCACCTTTCCCTTTCCACTTGATTTATTCGAATCATGTTAATATTCCCTTCAAAAGTCTACAATAGTTATATTAACACACCACACTTCTAAAATTAAATCTTAATATGTTCAAAACTCCTGAAATTTGCTTTGCCCCATTTTCTAAAACCACTCAAATATATCATCTTTTTTTTTTTTAATTAACCAAGCCTGTTTCCCTTGCTTCCAAGTCTTTGAACTTGCTGGCATGCTGTCTTTCCTCTCGGTACATTCTATGCCTCTGCCTCTTCCACACCTCAGAAACCTTTCTTTTATTTCTTGCTTTCTTTCCTGTCCTCCTCCCTCATTCTTTCTCTCTCTTTTTCTTCTCTCCCTCCATCCCCGCTTCCTTTCGTCCTTCCTTTCTTCCTTTTGTTCCTCTATTGGGCATGAGCCAGGCACTATAAATTTAAATACAGGAATTGACATTAACTCCTAGCAACTCTGGTGGCTTCAATCATTCCTGCATCACTGACGACTTATGTACCCACAGTTGTTTTATTTTGCATTTACTCTTTAGCTATTTGAACGTGTCCCTAATGTCCTGTGTCCTGCTGTTCCTATTTCAGTAAGTTGCCTGTGGGATTCACCTGAAACTTTTCTTATAGAACATTTTCTCTGGGGGAATTAGCATGGCCCACAGAGCTGTGGCTGGTCTTGAGCCAGGGGGACAATAAGAAAGGGCTACATTTTCCTGGTGATGCGGTCTTCACATAGATAGGAATTGCAGGGAGCTAAAGTATCATTGTATGTATTTATGTTTATTGAACATTCAATGTGATGACTTTCTGTGACATGTTCTGTTGTGTTTTTAGTTGTGTTGATGTTCCTTTCAGCTGGTCCTATGGCCCTCAGGAAGGTTCAAGGACCACAGAGAGAGCCGCCCATGGATGCCCAGGCCACTCAGAAGTTGAAACAAAGTCGTCACCTGAGGACACCTCTCCTGCTCAGCAACACACTCTTATAACACGTGGCAATCCCTTCAAGAAACAGAGAGTCTTAAGAATGGCATCTAGATTTTTTAAAATTGTTTTTTAGAGAGAGAGAGAGACAGAGAGAGAGAGAGAGAGAGAGGCGGGGTTGAGGGAGAGAAACAGATGGGCAGACACACAGAGAGAGACTTGGTGTCCCACTTATGGATGCATTCATTGGTTGATTCTTGTATGTACCCTGGCTGGGATCGAACCCACAACCTTGGCATATCAGGACCACACTCTAACAAACTGAGCTACCCGGCCAGAGCTCATGCCATCTAGATTTTTCATGAGCCAAAAACATTTTCTTCCTCATTTGTATTCCTCTGCTTGAATTTAAATTTAATGTGACATTTATTTTTTTAAGTCTTCCTAGTATAAATTTGCTTATGAATGCACCAATTTTTAAAATAGAAATTGCACAAATGTGTTAATATTTTAAGGAACATTAATGCTCTAAGTAGATTGATTTTTAGCCACACACAAAGTGTGACCTTAAGAGTGACCTAAAAAATATAAAGTACTCTTGAAATAACAGCAGTGAGAGGCAATCCAAAAGGTAAAATAATGGGGGGAAGTCATAAAGCAACATAGAAATACCACGTTATCCTGCCTGACACCAACCAAGCAACCATTCTTTTTATTCAGCAATCTAGGACCTGTGAGATACAGTCACTGCTTCTAACCAGTAAATTCAGTCAGACAGAAGGATATAAGCTTTTGAAAAGACAAATAACAACTCAGGTCAATAGATGGCAAGACCCAAACCCAACCCAAAACAAATGATTTAAACAAAGAACTCCGAGGAGGTCAGCAGAAGCAGGATAAAACTAGTCTGTTCAGGGAAGAAAGCCCCCTAAAGAGAAAATTATGAAGTGAGTCTTAAAGGATGTTAGAGAATTAGATAAATGGAAAGAAAGGAGAAAGAGTGTCTTTTAGATGCATTACTGTGAGAGCAAACGCACACGCACACGCACACGCACACGCACACGCAGCTGTCTCATCCCAGGTGTTGCCTAGAATTACAATTGTATTTCTTCGCCATTAAAGCAATAGAGTGACTGGTAATAGTATGAGAGCCTGTGATTATTCTGTTAACCTAATCATAATAGGTATTTACTGAATTCTCACTATATGTTAAGCATTTATGTTAGCTCACTTAAGCCTCACAGCAATTCAGCAAAAGAGGTATTATTCCCATTTTATAGGTTAAGAAAACTGAGGTTTAATGAGGTTAAGTAACTTGCTAAATAGCCAATACAGAGTTCACATCCAGAATTGCAATTGCAAAACTCATAGCCGAAGGCCGCGACTTCCAGCCATCGCACTGCCAGGATGTGTAAACCATGCAACACCTGACTAGCCAGTTAGGGCACTGCCCTCCTTCCCCTTAGATTGTCAAGTTAAAAAATGACAGCCAAAACAATAGTAGCTGTCCAGCGTGAATGAATCGAAATTATACCTATATTTTTGTCAGATTGGCAAAAACTGTGATCTATTTTTGGTGTGTTGCAGAATTTTAGTAATTAGTTTATGTGTGCCATGAGATGAAACAGGTTGAAATCCCTGATCTAAGGCCTGAAGTTGCAATATTGCAGTCATTACATTACTACTTGATATTTTTTGTGGTAAACAAAGAGCTATTTCATTTGATTATCCCTTTAAATTTTTCAGATTTCTGGTTAAGTTACACTAGAGTGATAGAATGTATTTTCCTAATAGAAAATTGAAATAATTGGGGAAGAGAGCGTATCAATATTTTAGGCTTTTTTTTCTTCTTTTGCCAGACTTTGATGAGATCCTTCAATTTTGTCTGCATAGAGTCTGAAATTCTTGAAATGAAAAAAATGGGTTAGTAATGATTAAAGGTCAGTTAATACTACATCCTTTTCCACAGGTGAGATAGAGGGGCTCATGGAGACCATACATTTATTTCCCCCAGGCTAATCACAGGCTGAGCCACCCGCCCTGCCGAAACCAGTCATGAACTTGAATTTGATTAGTGGAAACAGTTTATCTCAGAGATCTGGGAGCCTTGTACCTAGTAGATTGTTTCAATTTTTGCACCACCTCTTTGGCTTCCGAGGTTAATGTGAAAAATAGCTAGCTGTGAACTAACTATCGTTTTTAGATCCAGAAACTGCCAATGGTCGCTGGCCAGTTTTCTCAATGGTTAGAGCATCAGCCCATGTACCAAAGGGTCACAGTTTCGATTCCTGGTCAAGGGCACCTTGGTAGCAGGTTCCCCAGTCCCAGTAGGGGTGCAAGCGGGAGGCAACCAATCAAGGTATCTCTCTCACATTGATGTTTCTCTCTCCCCCTTCTCTTATACTTCCAACCTCTCTAGAAATCAATGGAAAAAATATCCTTGGGTAAAGATTAAAAACCAATCATATAATGGCCCAAGTTATTATGTGCAATATATTCAATGATGTTCTTAAGGTACTTGAAATCGCAGTTCACCTAAACCAATCCGGTCTTCTAAGTATTTTCTTAAACAGTTTCGTGCACAGTATGTATTAGTAAGTGCTTCTGCATGAATATTTACATATGACTTTCAAAAGTCCTTCAATTTTTAAAAATGTCAATGGTTATTTGCTATTTTAATCCTCACTTATCCATGTATCAACTCAAGAATACTTCAGCCATAAAAAACCTAGAATTAAGGAAATTTCACTCTTCTTTACCAGTCCCTTTGCATTTAGTTGGCATTTAGTAATGATTAATAAAATGGTCAGCTGGCCCAGCCGGTGTGGCTCAGTGGTTGAGCATCGACCAACAAACCAGGAGGTCATGGTTCAATTCCCAGTCAGGGCACATGCCCGTGTTGTGGGTTCAATCCCCAGTGTGGGTCATGCAGAAAGCAGCTGATCCATGATTCTCTCTCATCATTGATGTTTCTATCTCTCTCATTCTCCCTTCCTCTCATTAATCAATAAAAATACATTTAAAAAATAAATAAATAAATAAAATGGTCAGCTGGATGACACAGAGATTCAAAACACAGTTGTGTCTTGAAGGAACCCGTGAAGTGGGGTCCACTTCAGGACCAGCATCTCGCTTAGGACACCCAATAAGAGATGCTGCACATCTCTAAACATCTGGCATTGTCAGACTTAGAGCTCCTCATGGCTGAGCTCGGCCTATTTTCCAAATGGCTATTGGCCTTATTTCGCCCAGTGCTCGTTCAATGAGTTCATAAATAAACAGGATTTTTCAAAGTAGCTAAGCACAGAATATGATTTTGTTGGCATTTTTGGAGGCTTTGTTATATGTCCCTGGAACCCCCAATAAAAAGAATCTTGCATTCACTGTGAACTTGTGTTTGTTTGCTGGAAGAGCATGCTCTCGTGATGAGGCTTCAGGGTCCAGAGGGAGCAAGTAACCTAATATGATAGGAAATTTTCAATTCAAAGACAATTCCTAAATGACCCCATGTTGCCTTTCCATGACTGCCACTGTCATCTACCCAAGTCAGACACGAAGGAGTGATCCTCGTCTTTCTCTTTGCACCTGTCACGGCCAGTTCATCAGGTAAATCCTTTTATTTTTCTTCTTCCTGTTTTCAAATATGTCTGTGTCTCTCCACCTTCCACGTGGCTTTAGTTAAGACAACCCTCACTTCTGATCCAGATCAGGGCATCCGACCTCCAGTCTTTCCTCCTACGCTGCCAAGTGGTAACCAGGAAAATCTCCCTAAGGCACAAATATCATCATTTCACTCACAGTGTCCAACATTTTTATTGGATCCCTATTGCCCTTGAAATAGCATGACACACAAAACCCTTCCTGTCCTGGATCCTGGCCCAACATTCCTCTCCTTTCCAACATTCTTTTCAATGTTGCTGCCACACACACACTTGCCATTTCTTAGTGCTCTTTTATGTCCTGTGCTTTCTCACACATCCGAGCCTCTGGGTGGCTCTAGCTCCACTCCCCCTTCCCGACTCTGCACCTCGCCCCTCGGGTCTCATCCTGGAAGCCGTTTCCTCTCAGGAGTCTTTGCCTCAACCACCCTGCCATCACCCCTCAGATTCGCTTCTTTCATCGGTGCTTCCATAGCCTTCTGTGCATCCCTCCTATTAGCACTGATCACCCAGATGATGATAATGTATGAGCCAGTCTTCCCCATTTGAATATGTGATTCTAGAGTTGCCTTGCTCAATAGGGTCACCACTTGCCATATGTGGCTACTTCAATTTAAATTAATCTTAAGTAAAGTAAAAAATTTAATTTCTCAGGTGCACTGGCCACACTGTAAAGGCTCAAAGGCCACGTGACTAGGTGCCCCATCTTGATCAGCATAGGTAAAGAGCAATCCCATCTCCAGGAAAGCTGTCCAGGACCAGGCTGTTCTGAGAGACAGGCACTGCGTCTCCTTTGTCACTGTACCCCTTGGCACTGGCAACCCTTCCTAGCAGGAGCTTGCTCTCTGAACCCCAGAGCAAAATAACCAGGTGAGTTACTCTTCTCAATTCTTTCAGGAATGATATAGCACTAAAACTATACTATATGCATGGGAAGTAAATTAATGTATTCCATGTAAAGATGCCCAGGGTATTAAGGTTTAATTTTAGCATGAAGCCCTCACTGAGAAAGTCTCCTTTAGACTATCACAAATGTCAGTGCCTTATAAGTGTTGGCTGAGTAAGGATATGACACAACTTAACACAGAGACTTTGTTTTGTGTGTTTTGTGTGGAGTCATGTAGGGGGCATGTCTAGATTCCCAAGGGCCTCCTCTCTAGGGGATATGAGGATAGATGATTTCCTCTCTTTCATCCCAAGAATAGTTGAATTGTGTCACTGCAATAGGATTGCCCATTATTTCACTTGACTTTGTTTATGCTGGGAAACAAAAATAGAGAATTGAGCTGTTATTCAGTGAGTAAGATCAAAGTGAAAATGATCAAAGTAGTTATCCGATTTGAAAAGACTATGTCTTTTTAGGGAATTGCCAAAGTTCACTTATGCTGTTAATTATTTCCCAAGCACCTACCATGCACCAGACACTTTGTTAGGTACTGAGGATGCAGAAAGGAACAATATGGACACAATTCCTGTGCTCAGAGTGAAGTAACATTATTATTTCAGTTCCTCT